CACAACCCCCCCCCCGACCATCCTGAGGCTTTTGGAGGCATTCCATGTGCTAGGTAGAGCCACGAATTCCTTTCTACGTTAAGCTGTACAAATATGCAGAAGTAGATGTATCGATCTTTCCTAGTTGTCTTCCTGTACACTGATAATTGCGCTATACCATCCGAACTACAACTCAAATGATGAGACTCCTATAAATAATTGGGTTTTTTCAAGTTCCGTTCGTTTCTTAAACGCAACAGTTTATTGACATTTTTCTACTTTCTACTTCATAACAAAATCGTGTCTTTTTAAGACAAAGGTTAGTTAATGGTCAACTTTGTGAGTACTCTTCTATCAGTCTCTTGCGTAAATCTGATCTCCATCAGAAAATGCTTGATTTTGGTTGTATAAACTAAACCGAAAAACATTTTTTTCAAAACACACTGGTTTTGTTTTATCAATGGTTTATTTTTCTATCAGATCAACGGTGAAGTCTTTCACAAACCGTTCGTAGAGAAACCGTTGAATGCCGAAGACCACAATGTGTACATCTACTTCCCAAGCAGCGCGGGCGGGGGTAGCCAACGTTTGTTTCGCAAGGTGGGCAATCTAAGCAGCAAATACTTCCCGTACAGCACTATTCGCACAAATGGCTCGTATATGTATGAAGAATTCATGCCGACCGACGGTACAGATGTCAAAGTGAGTCCCGGTCACCCGTATTTCTTCTGTTTTGTTCATAATCATAGATAATGAGTTATTTTTTGTCTCACAATTAGAATTTCCCCCACGTTTATCGCCGGTCAAGGAGATAACAGCAAGCACTATCTGCCTCTGATCAACTGGTCAAATGTACATCTCATTGCTAAGTTTAAAGATCACTTTTAATCTTATTCATTCCGTTTTCACATCTCTGTGCATGCATCCGCCATTATTCTTAAACATTCACGTATCCGTACTCCACATTAGATTCCTGTATCCTAATTTGCTTGGCATTCTACCATACTCATGTCACGGAATCGACAGTCCCAGTGTCCTTATTCCCAGTTGGATTATCCGTTTGAAACGGTGCATATTCACAGCTCAAATGTTTTCTCTCCCTATTGGGCACAATGGTTTCCTTAGTTTCTCTCCCCTCAGGGCAATCAACATATTCCCTGTTACCGAGATCAGGTTTTGGCATCTTGTTTTATTCACCAACTCAAATCCAATAACTGAACAGTAGCTCCTATTAGCCACCGAAATCATACCTTCTACGGTGACGTGTTAAAAAGATTAAGGTTCTCTCACGTCATCTCACAGATTTGGTGTTACAATTGTGCGGTTGTCGTCACCTAACGAAGTTCGTTTCGTTGTCTTTCAATGGATCGTGATGAGGGGATTTCTAAGACCTAAAGCGAGTACGTTTATTCGTGCCGTTCAATCCGGTCTAAATGACAACATTTAATACCTTTTTTAGCCAAGTAGTTGCTTCTCTATGTTCAGTAGTGTCTTGATCACTGCCAACTTCGATGAGCATAGTGGGTCGCGAATTTATTATGGGCGGACGTATCACGTGCCTCAAAGAGCAGACCATACGAGTCGCATACCTAATATAGTACGACAACTACAACAGTACATATCATCATCAATGTCTTTTGGGGTTTCACTTCTTGGGAGGTCATTAATTTCCCTCAATGTGCCTCTTAACAATCCAATGGGCTAATCCAAGCTTACTACTCTAAAATTTCGATACATTTTATTTACTGATTTTGTGTCTGTGACTTGGTATGGTATTGGCATAACTATGTTTGACTTCACATGTCCCTTTCATTGTTGTTCTACAGATTGCTTTAGTTCTCCTGAAACCCATGATTGTGTTTAATGGTTTTTGTCTGATTTCTGTTTCAGGTCTACACAGTGGCCGATGACTATGCCCACGCGGAAGCACGCAAATCTCCTGCTCTAGACGGCAAAGTGGAACGGGATCACGAAGGCAAAGAGGTTCGCTATCCGGTTATCCTAACCCCACGGGAGAAGATTATTGCGAAAAAAGTGGCCAAAGCGGTGCGACAGCAAATCTGTGGATTCGATCTGCTTCGTGCAAACGGAATGTCTTACGTGTGTGATGTAAACGGATTCTCGTTTGTGAAATCATCCCGCAAATATTACGACGATTGCAGTCACATTCTGGGCGTGCTTATCACACGGAAACTGGCTCCCAGACTTTGCGTGCCGGCTAATCTACCACCGGGCACGGATGTGGACACTCCGCTTGTGCCGACCACCTGTGGTACAATCATGGAGTTGCGTTGTGTGATCGCGATCATTCGGCATGGGGATCGAACACCGAAGCAGAAAATGAAAATGGAAGTGCGACATGAGAAGTTTTTCTCCCTGTTTATGAAATATGCTGGCGATTGGACTAATGAACTGAAACTGAAACGACCGACTCAGTTGCAAGAGGTGCTGGATATTGTTCGGTGTATTTTGGACGAACTGGAAAGCGGTCAATGCACCGACCCACAGTTGGTGAAAAACAAACCGAAATTTGAACAGCTTCGGTATGATTTACTTCTTTCTTATTTTTTAAGCGTCCGTTTCATCATCATCTGCTTTTTTGCGCTATCAGAGAGCGGGAAACGATTTAGACTGGGAAGGTAACATCAAAAGTTACTATTAGACTTGAAAAATTTGCCATTTTTTGGTTTATTTCAGAAGTATGTCATCATCAGAATCATCATCATTGTGCAGCGTAATACAGCGAAACGAACTTCACTGATCGCTGCCACACTCATAATGCATACAAGGTAAATGAGAATATGTAAGGAGAACCGCGATTGGGTCTATTTTTAGGGATGGGAAAAGAAAGCGAATTTATGTGGTCAGCACACAGAGAACACAGTCCAGCTGTGCATACATCCTATTTCAAACATTCTGGTCTGATAAGAAGGGACAGCAAGATGGCTACTGCTATCGGTTTACTGTCATAACCTTCCGTGTCTTCGACCATGCGGTTACGTAGTCTTTTGAACCCCAACCCGGAAGACGAGAGATACACACTACTTAATAGCTCTGTGGAAATGCGCGTAGTTATCCCCTTTGATACGCTACCGTCATTGGTCACAGCTACTCAAGCACGAGAAACAGTCAACTTCATCTTATTCCTGACCGGAACTCGGCAACATCCGGTATTGCAGCATCACTTTGCACTTTGTAGGTGCAAAGAGCATGCCGAACGGTGCAGCAAAACTTGTTAGTTTATCAAGTGCGCTTTGTGCATCCTCCATGCACTCGAACAAGCAAACGATATCGTCAGCTTACTCTAAATTGCACAGGTTTTTTCCAGTTGCCCATGGGAAACCTACGTTTTTGAGACCAAAATTTCGTGTATGATGAAATTTAACAGGAATGGTGATGTAGGGCACCCTTGGTGAATATCGCTGCCGGTTACGAGCGACCTACTGAGCTCACCGTAGACCAATATGCTACTAGAAGTATGCGATTAGACTAACCCCAGTATGTTCACATACTTCTGCGGCATTTCTTTGTGGAGGAGCTAGCCCATAAGGCATTCGCGGGCAACTGATTCGAAGGCTCTTTTCAGGTCCAGGAGCACTGCCATCGTTCGTCGACGGTGGGTGTACTGCAGCTGAAGCAACTGAAGCAGCATGAAGATTTGGTCAATACAACCGCTACCTGGTTGAAATCCTGCTTGTCATTCGCTGATATCTGTCTCCCCGAAGGGTGTTGAAATATGACGGAGGCTAATACTTGGTGAAGATTGGGATCAAACGTATTTCACGGTGGTTTGCGCAGTCGTTGCCGGAACCCTTCCTAAAAAAAAGAACGATCAGTGATTGGCTCTAGGATTATGAACTTACCCCTTTTGACCAGATGTTACGCAGCAAATCAGTAATGGAATCTACGAGGTCATTGCCCCCCCCAATCTTGAAAAGAGTAGGAGGAAGCTCGTCGGGTCCTGCTGCCTTTCCTTTCTTCAGGGCTTGGATGCAGGATCATACTTCTGCTTCAGTAGGAGGTTGATATGACACTGCCCACGGACCCTCAACTACATCAGACGAGGTAATCTGGATAGCGCCTGGCCAGCTGAACTGTTCGTTGAAGTACTCCACCCACCGGTCAAGCCGCTGTTCCCTACTGTGAGTAGCTTTCCCACTTTTTTCGCAGACTGTTTATTACACACCTAAGTGTGATGAACAGCAGACGGGGCGAACCCCATAGGCACGAGGACCTGCTGTTCAGTGGTGGAAACCGGTAACCTAAGCCCCGAGATTTGGAATGGCCCCTATAGGTTAGGCGTGGTATTGAACCAGACGGCAGCAGAACTGCCTACCACTAAAGTTGGGTGGCAGTGGCGGGGCTCTAACCGTGGACCATAGAGTCTAAAGCTCCCCGATGACAGCGACTAAACCACTGCACCACCATAAACTGTGGTACGCCGACCTCCCCTATTGCGTATCAGTTGGAACAGTTATTTACCATTTCATGATGCAGCTGCCGCTTCCATTTCACTAGCTATTATTGTCCGCCATTTTCCACGGTCTTTCTTGAGGCTCTTCGCGAGGTGATTTTGCAGAAGTCATATAAATGACTTCCGATTAGTCCAATGAAGCGCGCAACCCCACTTCCCGTTCTGTGTTTACAGATGAGCCGTACTTTCCTAGTCCAGTTTACTAACACAAAAGAATGCGTGTGAGCTCTCCATTGTCACATAACCCGGGTAAAATGCCTCTGGGACTATATACAATTAGCATTTTTCACCCTTGCGAAACCGCGAGAAATCGATGACGCCGGANGAGAACACGCTACGATCTGGTTATTGCATTGGTGCCAAAATGATAGCGAAACACACGAATTGGTTCAAGAACATGAAGGGTAGACACCATGCAACGACGAGCAACCGCATAGCTTTGTATTGTTGTGGTCAGAATAGTCGTGAACCCGAAACGCACGGTAGAGTGGAAAATGGTTACACTTGGTGCGGAGATGAAAAGCCCACCTGCACTGCTGCTCTTGGACAGTCTAAAGCAATGTTTCATTTGTAGAAAATCTGTGCATCATATCGATGTGAAAAAGTGGTGATGCTGGTGGTAGAAAAAAGATCACGATTTCGTTCGTCAAAAAGCGAAGGGAAAAAACAGTTGGTAGCACCGGAAACGATAAAATCGAATAAAGAAGCACTGTGATGGACGAGGCGTCGAAGCGAACTGCCAAACCTAAAGAAGCAGGTTCATTCCTTTTGTGTTCTTAGGCGATGGATGTACGCTCCATGCTTGTCTAATATTCGACTGTATGCATTATTAGACCCCACTAAAATAAAATAGGGGAAGATCCCAAAATTGCACGTAGTAAACAAACCAGAATGCTCGGTTATCGCTCTTGAAACCGACTGCTTTTTGTTCTGTTTGCAACTTATGGCTACTTTGGCGCCGTATATGCAAAACGTAGTATTGATTTTAGGGAAGTGGTAAATAACTCGATTGAGCATTGAGGTTTATGAGTATTTTAGACTTTTAACCCCGTTAGACGACGTGTGATTTGATGAGCTGGACCCCGGGTTCTCTCTTTCTCTCTCTCTCTATATATATATTGAAATGTCAATTGACAATAATCCAATAACTTGACTTTGTAATGTAATTACATGAACTCCACTAGGGGACAGGTACGCTTGTACACTGAATGCAAACAGTGTGCCAAACAAATCACGATAAAATAGCCTATATAATAAATAAAGAATCCATGATCTACTAGTGACCGAATTACTGCCCAAGTGCCCGGTTCAAAGGCGAAGAACTTTCTTGGGGCCGAAGCTTTCAGCTGGTCAAAGCCCAACCGCCAGGGCAGCCGGACAGTGTGTGAAAACCGCAATAGCACCCATTGGGGGCTGGTGTCCAAAACATGAAATCACGCGCTCGCAGGACGGGGTAAAACATTCAAGGTGTCCAATAAACCTCGATGCCCAATAGAGCCGGTGACCACTTACCTACCCGGGAATGTGTGTAATTGGTAAATCTTTGGATTAGTTTGGTATCAGGGTTTTTAGTCAACTACCTTAGGTGAATTGCCCGCCGTTAACTGGTTCAGAATGGTGACTTTTCGTTCTCGCGTTTTGCTAAGAAAACAACTAAGGGAAGGTAGTGACTAAAGCTTCCTCAAAAGGGACTATCTAAGAAGTTTGGTCCTATCAGAGCCTTTGCCGAGGTGCAAGTACTTTGTTCAGGACATGTGACCAAACTAAGATCTCACGAGAATTTGAACACTAATTAGAAGACACTCCGCTAAAAAAAGTGTTGCAACCTTCTCTCCCCTCCCCCCCCCCTAGATTTTTGGGTTATCTCCAATCTCATATGCACGATCATAATCATTTTTACAATCTAGAAGGTAACTAAATGAAAATCAGAAATTTCATCAAATTATCTTGAATTTTAACCAAAATATGACGAAAAAGGACGAATTTTAACCTCGACAAAAGTATTGCACACCATGAACCTTACCCACTGAAGCCATTTTATTACTCTATATAAGATTTTAATTCATGTCCCTGTCGATATTACCACATCCACTGATCAACTATACCTAGACAAACTGTAACCGCATGAAAACAATTGTTCGCCTGAAATTGTGTTTTAAATGCGACTATGGGTATATTTCGAAATGTATACCTGTATAATTCGTTTTTCCGCGTCCTGATGTAACTTTCAGAACAAGCCAAATGTTTCCTACTGGGCTCCAATCTGGGCTGTACGCGGGTCACCACTGTCCGATACGAGTAAACAACTACCGAAAGTGGTTTCGTGGTGATCATTCGATAC